GTTTACCATCATGGTGCTAGGGGATGTTGGCTAATATTCGAAAAGGTTCTTTCTCACTATTGACTATTGACTTGTCCGCATTTTCGACTATAGTTAATCAGAGGGATCGGTTACGATTTTAAACAAAATTAAGACTCGCGCATGATGTGGAATAAGTTCGTCAAGCAACAGGCTCATTATGGTTGGTCAGCTACCGAAACAAATGTCACTTCAGTCTGAGAGGGAGAGCAGTGCAATTCGTTCTATGTGCAACAATCCATCTGCCCAAAACCGAATAACTATGCGCCTCGCTTTTTCCTCTTTTCAACTCAACATTTGTGGAGAGGTGGTAAATGAGCTACATTACGCGAGTTCAACGGTTACCATTGAAAAATAATATAGCCATTCTTCCAGAAGATCATTCAGCTCATCGATTTCGAAGGGTGTGGAAAATAATTGATAGATTTAGTACGGGGAAACATTTCTCTTTTGACATAAAAGTTTTATCAGACCAAGTTACCAGTTAACAGCGTTGGTTGAATTTCAAGGTAAAAGGACAACCAATCAGCAGGATCTCTTTCCACTCGCAGGCTAAATCAGTGTTGTGTCGGATGGGTTTTTTGGTATTGTGGGTCAACAAGCATCAAGTCAGGTGTACATGTAAAAGCCTTTCGTGCAGGTTAACTTGGTCTAAAGTCTAGTCCTTCCGGTTAACTTCATTCAAAGATTTCTTTTGTGTGTCGCTTACAGTTTCTGTTGATCTTTGTGGGCGTGCTAATGATTCGCCGGTTGGTTAAGGAGGGGGAATTACTTGAATGTGGGTAGAATTGTTTTTTTCACCAGTCCTGCTGTTGAATTCCACTTGACTGGCAACCGCACAGTGCTCCATGTGAACTCGGCTTATCTAGTTTTGCCATCCACATACCTGGCGTTTATATGCCTTTTATTTTATTCACCGTATTATATTATATTTATTTAATGATTTTCGAACATTGTGGCGTGAATCGCAGTCCACTCTTAAATCTTTCACATTTCCCGGAAATGTTTTGTATCCTATGTATATCGCGTGTCCTGCCTTCGCCGAGTTTTTGATGAGCGCCTTATATTCGTCCGAATTTCTTATTGGATTGGTTATTCTCTCTCGTTCAACGGTTATGATGTGTTGTTTTCTGGCCTTTTATCCTATGTAGAACTCAGTGCAGCCGTTGCGTTCAATTTAACATACTCAGACCCTATTCTTTTAAGCCAGGATGGGTTCTTTCAACTTCCTTTATGGAGGGTCTAACGTTTTTATTCACTTTGAGCTGACACCAAAACTTACGAGAACTTCACTCACCTTCAAAAGAAAGCCTATTAGTAAAGTCGCACGAATCCCAAGTGCGAGTGGTTGACTTACCCATGAGTGTTTCTAGTATGCCAGCTGGGCATCTGGCTAGCTCATGTGGTGCGGAACCTGGGCCGTCTACTTTTAATCTTATTGGACTATATTCCTTGTTGATTTTAGGCGACCCCTAGGTCGTATTTTTTGGTTAAGACCGATACCACTAACCCTACCCCAAATGCATTATTATGGATCTTAGCTACCTACCAACTTCAGCTTTACTCTTATTCCTCATTGTCTTAAAGGCGCCATTGTTAATTTGCGTGTAAAGCCCATCAATGAAGTGCTACTTGACCTCTTGTAGACAGCCCCTCTTATTCATAACCACTGTGGCCTTGTTTCGTAGTGACAATACTACCCAGATCTTTCAGTGTGCTTGAAGCCGTCTACTCTGACGATCGAATATTCAAAGCTCCTGGTTGCTGGGATTTCAGCACCGCGATCGGCTTGTCACAAACATCACCTGAGACGTCTTCGTCGGGAAGTGGATTGGTAATGCGTCACTAGATGGTCCATCGGTGATTGGTACTACCGACTCTTGTCGGTTTCTGATCTTTGGTAATACCATATTAGGGTTACTGTTGCATTGTTAGTCCAGGCAGTCAGCCACTGACGGTTTAGCGGCGAATCTTCATGACACTTCAGCAGCCCCACCTGCTTTTTCCTGCCATGACATCCCACAAATTTAACGAGTATGTACTTGTGAGTGGTGAACGTGAGTCGAAAATTGGTATAGAAACCGGGAAATAGGGCCACATACGACTGGTCAGTGTGAAACCCGAGTGCCACAAATGACATATCTGTGATGTCATAGACTTCAGATGGACTCAGTCATGGTGATTTCCTACTATGGCAAGATGAACCGAAAACTACTGGTCATCTTCATTTAATCGAACGCACTTAAATAAAAAGAATTCCTGGTTCAAATGCACGTACATACACCATGAATGTGATCACGTCATCAAGCTGCTTGCTGTACCTTGAGTTGTACTGCTCATTCCCTCACACAGCCGACTGCTTGCGGCGGGGTTTAGACTGATAAAGCTCCCGCCCTATCGTGCAAAAGCGCCTGCCTGACAGTGACCCGGTAATTTGTCATTCTGACATGTCGCTGACTATCCGCATTTCACGTTTGTTTGTTGTTCAATCCCAACTCGTCCGGAGTCGTTATGTCGTCAGACCGTTTGCTCCAGCGCGCGTTTGCGTGTGTCTGCGTGAGTTGTGAGGCCAACACTGTACACGTTTGCTTCCAACTCCATGCCCGCATTGGGAATGGTAACCAACGCCCTACAACCATCAATGTGCGTTCGTGTGTGTCAGTGCGAGCGATTGTCCACCCTTTCACGGCAAACCATTCCAATGCCGATCTCAGTGACATGTGAGGGCGGCGAGAAGACAATTCAAACGATTTGTCCAAGCTGGTTGACAGATTGCTAATGACGTGCAATATAAGACTCAACGGGGCCCGTTTTTGTCAGGCGACTGCATCGCCCTGTGACCTAGATGGATTTCACTATTTGCCGTCTCCCTACACCACTCGCGGCGTCGGCCATCATACGCCTTTTCCCGCATTCCTATCCACGATTGAGTTTATAGCAAGTCAGCCGCTCAGCATAGTGTGAGTTGTTCTATATAGAGCGGTGGCATTCGCTTAGCAATCTATGGCTGATCATTAGTTTGATTTCGTCCCGGTAACAAGCAGACGAATCGGGAAATTGCCATATGAAAAACTGTCAACTAATCGTCAGCAGTATAGTGAATTGGGAAACAAACATTACCGACTTTTTTATTCTCTGTCCGTTAATAGTATGACCAGAAGTTCCGGGTGTTACTTGTAGGTTGTAATGAATATCAAGCTTCCCCAAGGAAGAAAGTCAAAGGCAAAGACAGCGGAAAACAATTTGGTGAAACATAAAATTGATTCCATCACAAATACACTCAGAAATGATTACCTAACCCTATAAACCAGTAACAGAAAGTGAATTCAGAGCAAGGTTATTTCAAGCAATGGTCCTATAACTGGTCATCAACTCTGCAGTGATGTTCACACATATTATTGTCTTTGGGCACGATACCTTGTTTTGATGAAAAATTTCTTACAGGATTTGAGCAAATCCGTACAGCTTCCCAGGAGGATTCGTTATATAGCTTTGGCTTATATTTTCAAAATAGTTGCTTACCTTGAGGGAAGTTCTGTTTAAGTAGAATTTATAACCATATCTGACCGGATCCATTCTTCCATTTCGAATAAAGGGTAAACATGATGCCGAACAACTTGGGTCACCCAGTTAACGACAGCTGCTATGTTTCGTATCGAACAGTAGCGATCACCCAAAGGCGTCTTCATTTCACTTGTTTTCGGCATCGTTTCGAATATATTCTCCAATGGAACGGGCATTATGAATAAACTTGAAATCGTTCTTCATGAGGGGGCAGAGCTTAACTATTCAAAGTCCCACGATGACACCTCAGCAATGTGACGAAAGCGTCCATTCAGAGAGACAAAAAAATCCGCTCCTTCTTTGCAAGGCTTCTTATCTCATTGAGTCTTTTCTTAGACATTTTCTGTGTCTGGGAGTACACCCGTAACTGTATCTCCAGTGCAACTATTCTAACCGGGCAATGTATTGCTCCTCCACATTTTTGGGCGTGCTCACTGCTGTTTACACTTCCCTCCTGCAGTTCCAGAGGACTTAGGTGACCATCTAACAAACCAGTTTAAACTTAAAACCTTCTAAGAACTGTAGTGTGAACTCCAATGTAAATAGACTGTAAATCAGCAGTTCTAGCGCAACCGTATCTAGTTAACGTGCCGAAATTAAACTTGAGGAACCTTATTTCTGCTGGTCGCACGGGATAGAATATTCTAAGCATTCCAAATCCATCGGCCCAGTATAACGAGAAAGCTATTTAGAAATGTAATCCACTCATGTGACGGAAGGCAGCGTCCAGGTTTGTGCTCTTTCTGATCAAATAACGGCTTCATGTTAGAGTCTGTCTCCCTCCCTCCATTTCTACGAAGCGAATGGTTCCCGCTTTAAGTAGTTGAAACACAAACGACAGTTAAACGCTACGGTGCTGAAAAAGGTGTGTTGAGATAGTTATTCAGAATATTTTTGTCCTTGAGTATTTTTGGTAATTTCTCTTTTACATCTGTAGTTGTACATTCTGTTTTATTGGCCTCATTGTACGCAACCACCTTGAACGTACTCAAACCATTGAAGCACGTTCCCCCCGTATTTACCTCGACCAAAATCAATAACTCTTCTTTACTGCTCAGTTTCAACGCGGCACTATCCTATCCTAATAAATTTTGCTGACGTCAAATGTTGTACCTTGTTTTCACACCGCCGTAAGGCCAGTTGGAAGGATAATTTATCCTAAGCAACGTAAGCTCTTGGGGTATCGGCGGGTTCATTCGCACAGGTTTGCAAAAAAATTGTTTGGTAACCTTCTATTTATTTTCCATTCCATCTTGTGAATTTTGATTTAGCTTGGTTTCCTTGGAAATTTATTTGCGACAACTCAGTTGCTAAGCTGTTATTATTCTTAATAAGCAATTGACCATGAATTCATTTATTCCTTTCTGTTGACCAGATGACCACCAGGAAGCCCACAGAAGAACAGTCCATAGAATAGTATGGAAGTACTTCCAGCAGCTGCACCAAAAGTGACCACTAAAACGAATTCCACAGCACTTGAATTCTCATTGAACGAAAACACTGCGACATCAACTATGGGGTTGGAGGCCAGTAACCCAATCAGCCCACTTACTACTGCATCTGTGTCTCCAGAATGCCAGAAAACGCCTAATCTGACGGCTCGTACGCCACAGTATCCCAGCTCGCCGATTCTTCCACCACTGAATTTGTCCAGTCTGCCAAATACTCCTACCAGCGGACCCAATACGGATTTATCTCCGTTAAGTAAGCGCCCTTCAAGTGCCGAAATCCTCCGCTCACCGGGTGAAGGACAAGTATTTGGGTCTGGTGCACTGCACATCTCACAACTGGAACCCGGAGAGAGTGCAGTGAAAGAGGCAGAGGAAGTCAACGTTGAGTCCGATATTTACCAACATGGATCAAGTAACCCACAAAAATCTATTGCTTCAGTCAGCAGAGTCGCGGAACCAAGGGACGATGGAGCTATCTCCGACTGGGCGCAGGCGTTGCAACAGCTAGCAGCATTCTGCTACAGCAGCAAAAAGCCATCTGGTGATTGTCAACGAAGCTGTGATGAACCACTTGCCAGTCAAGTCCTACCAGAGCCCATGAACACATTTCAAGCCATGCTGGCTAATATGGGCCAGTTGCTTCTCAGTTCTCAGTTTCCCAACCCATCTTCAAAGTTATCTAAAGGGGGATCACATGACACGAACCCACAAGACTCTCCCTCACATAATTCAGTACGACAGTACGAGTCACCAAACCCACTCCAAATGCCAAATTTCCCTCCAGCTCCACCTCTTCCAACAAGTTTTGTGAACGGCACGGAACATAGTACTGCTGAATTCAAACCGCAGAACGCGGATTTAAGTAACCCACAGTCGTCTCTGGCTTTGACAGCATCCTTGTTAGCAATGATGGCTGTGCAAAAACCAGATGGTCATGGAGTTCACTCGAATTCTTTCTTGACCACATCCATGATTCCAAACACATCATGTTCGAGCACATTATCTTCGACAATGACTCCTAGTTTACAAAGTCTGTTTGCATCGAACTCGACGCAGTCACTCTTTAATACCGCAGACTCCGCATCTACGAAACAACCTGGACCTAACCTCACTGACGGACGTGACCTACTTTATCAGCTTGGGCAGCACTTGATGGCAATGGCCACCTGTTCGACATCAGTAGATTGTATACCCAAGTCATCCAATGAAATGGGGTCGGCTTCCACGTCTGGAGCAAATAATTCTGGACTTGGATTTCCTTCCGGTCAACTTCCTTTTTTATCCGATTCAGTGTCCTCTTTCATCAATACGAAGATGTTCCCTACTCCAGCTGCCCCACAGGCCCAGGGACATATGTCCTTTCAAGATGTACCAATTTCCACCTCGCAAGACAGGCGGACTTCCAACTTCGGTGTTCCTTTGCAAAGTATGGGGTTTGACAAGAATATGCCTCATCTGTCTACAAGTGGAACGGGACTTAGCGGGATTTCAATGCGTGGTAATCAGAAATACAGTGCTTATTATCAGCATCAGCGTAAACAAGGTTTTTCACTTGGTGTTACAGGCGATTTCAATAACCCGAATCAAAGCCGACGACAGGCTACCACAAATCCTTTATCAAACCCACGTTATGGTGGCCGAAGATTCCGTAGTGGTTTTGGTGGTGCCACGCCCAGTATGGTCGGAATGGACGCGCGAGGTCTCCAACGTCTGCCTGGTGTGAGGGGTCCGTCTAACGTGGTTGGAGGGCCCATTTACCCGAATTTTCGGGGAGGTTCCTACAAACATTCATTGACTTCTCCAGGGTTGATCTCCGGTCATGTGAAAGCCCATGGGACAGTAGAATCGATGAACCCGTTGGCTACAGCTGGTGCGGCGGTAACGTCATCTGCAGCGGATCACGCACCCACGTCCACCCGACTGCGAGACACAGCTTTTCTATGTAGTTGTGGAAAAGACTTTGAAAGCCTGTATGTCTTCACTTTGCACATGAAAGATACGGGGCACAAACCAAAAAGCGACCAGTCTGAAAGGGATATTCCAAAGTTGGTCCGTGGGCAAGACATGTGGATCAACAGTGAAACTGAGCAGACACGCGAGATACTTCGATGCATGCGTTGTCATCAGTCGTTTCGAAATCTGCCCGAGCTGACAATGCACATGATGAAAACGAATCACTATTCGGAAATAGTTTACAATGACTCTGGTAGGTTAGTATTTGTCAACCCAGATGAACCCCGCCGCGGCTCTGGCACATCCTCTGGTTCCACATCGGTTCATATGTCCCCATCGAAGCTTCCTGTATGTAACATAAGTGGAAAGCGAAGTTCACGAACCTCAACTTCCGGTCATACTTCAATTACTGGCTCCACCTGGTCCAATGGTTTACAGTCCCCCGACTCGGCTGACAGCAGCTCGACGCTAGACAGACAGGAGAACCCAACCTCTGCTACTGAGAACAACCGAGAGTTGAATAAACACAAAGATGCAGGTGAACACGACGCATCGGATCCAAAGCAGTGTCAACCGTGGAGAACGCTGAAGCAAGGGAAGATCCGGAAAATTGAGGCTAACAAACCTGAAACCGTCGAGGCTTCTGGGCATAAAAATTTGGATGACGCTGGTGCACCTAGTACTTCCTGTCAGAGCCCAACACGCGAATGTTCCATTTCTCCAGAACCCCCTGATCTCAGAAAAGCAGCGGGATCACCCTCGTCCACTGCTTCAATGAAAGCAACAGTCCCGGAAATATCTGACTGCTCAGTAGAGCTCCAGAGTCAGAAATTCGAAACCAGTGTGCTTCGCCAAATTGAATCTTTTGTTCAGAACAGCCTACAAGGTAATGCCCGAAGTCTGTCTGTTAAGGTCGAAAACTGCAGTTCCAATGCATCTCAGATATCTTCACCGCACTCAGTGTCTACTGAATTCGGCCCCAACGTTTCACTACCTAACAGCTCAGCATCACAGCTATCACCAGCCGCAAGAAAACGAACTCATTCGGAAGCTAACCTATCTGGGCACTGTTCTCCAGTATCCAGTTTGACAGATGAGCTAGATGTCAAGTTGAAACATATACCTTCAACATCACCTGATAAGCGTGTTTCAATGACCTCCCCAATATCCACAACGGTCACGAGCAGCAGTGAGTCATCACACTTGAGTGAGAATCCCCTTTCGTCCCTGCAGAAGCTAGTTGATACAACACACAAGCCGGTTCACCCAACGGCTGCGTTTTCCGCTTCAACCTCTTCGACTCTTTTTGTTTCTTGTGGTTCATCAACACACTCTTCAAAACCGCCAGCTGCTTTGCGTTCCCCTTCTGGTTCAGCAAGTTCGAATGTACGCACACCTTACACTGCGAGCGGTAAGACACCTCTTTCTAGCGTACTAAATAGTGCCTCAAGTTTCACGCAACTAGTTTCACCAAGCTCTGAAAATGACAATATCACCCCTGCCTTGTCGGCGCTGTATGCGTATGTAGAAAAGTCCTCACCATGTCAACCAAGAGACAGTGAATTTGCACACAATAAAGAGGGTCTAGGTAGACCTCTTCCTTTTCCAGGAGGACCCTGCTCGGAGAACAGAAGTTCACCCCATATGGTGAACTCACCTGACAAGGCAATGAACCCAGCCTTGCAGGCATTGTATGCTGCTGCCATGTCAACTGTTGCCGCGCAGTACCTAAACTCAGCATCTCCAAATAATATGCGACTTTCTACTTTGCCGGATCCCTTGAATTTATTCAAACAAGCCGCTTCGAACTTGAAGAAGGCTTTTGAGTCATCTGCAGGATCATCTCCACCATCAAAGACTGAACCCACAAACACGTGGATGAAAATGTTGCAAATGCTTGGTGGATGCCAAAACGGTCCTAGTTGGAATGAGCAAACATACTCAGAAACACCAGAACCTCCAGAAGTCAGTTCACCCACTCACATTTCTTCAGTTTCCCCAAGGCAGTCTTCCTCAACCCCAAGTGGAGAGAACCGAATAGGGGTTGATTTCCTTCCCGGAGGGAATGACTCTAGGACCAACTCTCCTGGATCCAACACAGGCAGGGCTACTAAAGTTGATCCACCGCCATGTAAAAGTCCGCCGTCTATGTCTGGCCTTGGAGTGCAAACAAGTGGTTTTCGTTCAAACCTCCCCAACCCTCCATCTGCTCGGTACCCACCCCCAACATTGTCTGTCCGTCCACTTGGAGCCACCAATGGTCCAGGTAGTCTCATGTCGACAATGATTACTAAAAAAGCAAAGTGCCACTTCTGTGGGAAGCCATTTGCTAACAAGGGACAAGTTCGCCTACATATCAGCAAGAATAAATGCCCCTGCTTACTACAACAGTCGTGTCATGTGGCTGCACTGGCCGCGGCTTTTGGATCAGACTCACGTGTACTAGCCAATAATCCTTCAGCTTCCGTTCCTCATTCACAGACTCCTGGTAAACCCATCGTTTCCAGCCCACTCAATACCGATTCTACCCCACTGTCAACTGGACTACCGTTTACGAATTTCCCCACACCACACCGCTCGCCTAGTACCAAAGACTCAATAGAAATACCATCTGCATTGAGCCTACTGAAGGAAAGGTTCCAAAATTTTGATCTTATGCACCAGCGCCAAAATAACGGATCTTCATCTGGACCCAGCATATCCGAAACAAACCTGAATACCAGTCCATTTCTTTCAGCATTTACCTCTCTCCCACATGGTGCCTCGGAAACCGACCGGCTCTTTTCCAATCAGTTTTTCCCGGCAATAAGTCATAAGGCCGGTCAGTGGAACAATGGAAATGCAATGACAAATCCGGTTCCCACCAGTAAATTACAAGCAAGCTTTCCCGGAGTTGGCGGCTTAGGTACTACAACGGCTGCTGCAAATGCGAATCATCTGGCTGCCATGGCTCTGCTTGCTCAAACTCTGGCACAGATCACGTCATCCCAACTCGCCAGACCTCCTACTAGTGAGAACACAACCGACACCACGACCAACTTACCAAACCCTGTTTCACTGAACCTTTCACCGAGTATGATCGATCCGAGGAACCCGTTCCACTTTATGAATCCTGCAAACTTTAACTTGGACCTACTGTTAAACCATATCAACTTTGCCAAACAGTTGAACCACTTTAATTGGAACGAGCAATCTCTGGATGGGAATCTAACGAATTCGACCAATATGTCAGCGGGGCACTGATAATTACGGTCGATATTTATATGTGGTCTTTCTGGATGTTTGCGGGAGAAGCAACAAAACAACTGTGGTCGTTCGGACCACTGCGTTTCACATTTCATTATCTGCAGTCAGAAGTTAGGCAACACCCGGAAACACAATATCTTTACCGAATCATGATCTGTGCCCAGTGCTCTTCGTTTTTTTTCGATTTCCGCCTGATAATAGTTCCATGCCACACTCGCTTGTCTCCAAGGCGCCGAGTTAATGTAACTCCATGTTTTACAGCATTTACTCCTTTGTTTGTTTTGTTCCTTCTTTCGAAATCAATCCCCCAAATTAAGGCGAAAACAGCTTTGACTTCCGGATGTCGTTTCCGTACTAAAAATCCTTTCACGGATTACCAATATCCAAATGAACTGTGCCGGCCAGACCATGAAATTTGCACTGAGGTGTAAATAGTTTATTTTAGTTCTAAAGACACGAGCTATTTGTGATCATTCCTCATTTATGTGAACTGCTTATTGTAATATTTTGGTCACTGATAAGCGTCATCCGCTGCACAATCCAATCCAGATAGGTGTGTTGATCTGGAATGCGATGGCTTCCTTTCTTTCTATTTACCTGTTCTATTCGACCGAAATTGTCACTAATGCGCCTCCCTTATTGCCCATTTCATGTACAAAAAAGCAACAACGGTGAGCTATCATCAGACTCTTTGTAAATAATCACCTTCTACATTTGGAAGAGTGAGTTTGTTAATCTCTGCTTATAACAGATATTAAGACAAGTCATTTATCGACCAGAATTTGCCACTTCTTTTGTAAAGGACACAGCTGGGTATGGAGGGAAGGTTGGGAGAGGGCGTGAGGTTTGGAGCCCAGTGTGCCTAAACGCTACGAGTCGATTTTCCAGAGGTCTTCATCTATTGCGTGCCGGTTCATACGTCTTTGCCACTGTTGGTAATGAGCTGAAAAGAGAATAAATCTTCAACATTCCTGTTGTAAAATTCTAGATCTCGACTTCTGACGTTGGATGCAAGAACAGAGATTCTAACGTTCGACGGAGTCTTCAGTAGGGCACAAAAAAGTTTTGCGGCAATAAAGTTTGTGGCAGATCAAAACGACTGGATTGCTAGTGAATATTGTACTATACGGTTTTCAGGGTTATGGTAAAACTTGGCCAGCGAACAGTCCTCACAACGGATGAATTCTGCAAATGAATTGGTGTCAATCGTTTGGTGACCTATGGTAACACATTCATTAACTAAGAGCATCTCCTAAGCGGAGTCGAGTCGAATTTATGATTTCCTTATTGCTCGACATCTGCACGTGGTTGACGCTGAGGATATATCGCGGACCACATCAGAACTGAAGTTCTGTGGTCTGCAGTGAGGCGCTAAAATAAAGCATATAAAGATACCTTACATTTCGATTAAACATGAAGTACTGTGTCATCAAGGCCTAAGGGTTATTCTCTTGTTGAAGGTTGTGATTTTCCAGATCTTAAGTGCTGCTCGTTTGTTAAATGTTCATGAGCCTGATGTGATGGAGTTGTAAATCAGTAAATGCCGTATTAAATCCATTTTTATAAGGACACCTTCGGCCTGGCGATGAAAAGCCACTCGGTCCTATAGATGATTTTACTAGTCCGACCGTGTTACTAAGGCTACTCCACTCGAAAAATTAGTGAGAGGCTGACTCCTTGTTGCAACTGCATCAACTGTACACAACTGTACACTTAGTCGAATGGGACCCATTCAACTGCGCACCGGCCATGTCTCCTCGACTGGTGACGAAACGTTTGCAAGCCTATTGCCAAGCTCGGCGAACAGATCAACTGCCATCCGATCAACCACCAGTAAACACACCCGAGCTACCTATATTTCGACAGATTGACCAACGAAATCCGTAGCGACTTAGTGGTATAATCGGAATTTTAGTCTACAGATCTTTGTGGGTCATCGGTAGCAAATATTTCACGATAATCCAGCAGGCCTTCAGGTTAGCAAGAATTTCCTTCAGGAAGAACTGATTAGAGGTGTGTTTAACCCACATTTGCAGAAGGCATAGTGCGTCACGCTTCAGTCATATTTCAGATCATGTGATCCGGAGCTAACTATATTCTCGTGTGACCGATCATGAAACGAAAGCCCCATGCAACCTGTAGGATCTGCTTTTGCCCAGAGGTTCGTTTGACGAGCACTGCTGATGACCACAAATAGTAACGGAACGGTGATTCCGGTCTTCACCAGCAGAATGAATTTTCAGTTGGAATTTCAAAATTGCTTCACAGCCTGCCAATTTTAGCCTTCTAAGGCTGCAATTTTTGAGCGTAAAAATCAGTCCATGCCGTTCCCGGGATGCGAGTATGTTCGCCGGCGCACTTATATTCAACTTATTAACGAAAGTCCCATTTGTTAAGGCTAATAATAACACGTCGATGTTTCAAGGAAACGAACCTGGACAACCGAAAGTGATTTGCCGATTGACTGCTAATGGGCTGTCAAATCGCTGGCTATATGACAAGTGGCTCATAATGCGTTACTTGCTACCAAATCGAAGCGCCACAGATTTATTTCAGGTGCTTGTTCACAAATTGCAAACTCGACTGGGTAGTTACTCCAGATGGCACAGAGTGCTTGATGAATTTCGAACAACTCACGACAAATGTGTGTGACGGAGAAAGGATTTAAGTGCTACGTTTATTTTTGAAACATCTAAGTGGCCCAAAGACTTAGTTGTCTTGGAGGTTGAGCGCAATCATAAGGGTTACCAAAATTGAATCATTCAATCCACCGGGTGCTTGGTGCAGTTCGTCTTTCAGGGCAAAGTTTTACTGTGGCTTATTCAAGTGTTATCGAATTCGGTGAGTTCGAAGACGCGTGTCTTCCAGCTTTCTGCGAAATCACCAAGCGTATGGACCATCCAGTCTTCCTTCTTTCGAATTCGTGTTTACTGGCTGGGACAAGCATGACCGATATCTAGGAATCAGCCTCTCAAATGCACATGATATCATTAATTACGTTAACGCGCATGTCTAAACTAACATGGGAGGTCTACCATAAAACGATCCTGTGAAGTTTTACGCATGAGTCTCACCATACGCGAGTTCACTGGTAATTATTGGGAACCAAAAATAAGACCTAGTTTGTCATCACCATCATCAACGTCGGTAGCGTAACATCAGTGTTCAACAGTAAGGCTTTACTGCCCTATTAAGACCTTGTTACATCCGACCTGTATCAATATCCGCAGGTCAAGCAAAAGTAGACTAATCTTTATGTGATGAACGAAATCGCAGATCTTTGGCTTGCCATCTCAACACCTGAATGAAGCAGCGATACATCAAAAGGAAGTAAATAAAGTAGGCCTGATGAATAGCAGAAATTTGAGAGGTTATCCTAATGAGGGATTTTGTTACAAATGAGTTTCGTGAAGAAAAGAATTGCTGAGCAACTGCACTGAAAATGTGCTTCTGTCTGAACGGTAAAAAACAAGTTCCCCGAGAACTTCCTATCTGTGACAGCATTTATGTATAGACGAAGTATTCAGAACGCATTATTTTGCCAGGCCAAGTGAATTCTGAAGGTAGGACCCCACCAATCGTCTCGTTAATAACCAGAATGGAACAAAACTGGGTGTCCTATAGGCCATCCATTTTATATCTACTCCCTGAAGTTACAACTTCAATTATGTCCCTTTTCCACATCATCGCATCAACTGAGTAGGAGTTTTGCCCGTTCTGAAACACGCCAGTTGCGGAAACCGATAGTGTCAACCTGATACTGACAACTGACCACTCTTGAGATTCAAGCACAGGTAGTGATGACAGACGTTAAGTTCGTACAAACTGGTTATGAATACACAAGCGGGCGCCAAAATGTAATGGTGCAGACACATTTGCTTTAATAAATTGATGCAAGATCGGCATCCCGCACCAGTCCGCTAACCTACATCACCAGTCAGCAACCTGAGCCGTTGCAATCCGTATACGAATACTGTACAATATGATTATAAATAACTATTAAGCATCCTTCCATGCGTATGTCTCAAGCATGACAGTAAGCATCTCAAAATCCCGAAGACGGAGTACTATATGGCACTAGATGCCCCTGAGAACAGTGTCTTGTAGAAACGGTGGAAGCCACACTGTGCTACGTCATCTGCTTCACGAATACTGGTGTCATAATCAGTTGATGCTTACCGAAGGAACGCGAAAACACAGACGTGTTCACATACGGAGGAAAGATGCCACACAACACACGTAGTGGATATCTTAATGGTCCATAAGTGAGAAACTGGATCCCGTGCGCGAAACAGCTTCGAGAACACTGAGAACAGTCTGTTATTATGTGTTTGTGATGATTTAACTGGGTATCTGGAACAAGGGTGTATATACTGCTTTCGGTGCTTTTTGGTGATACCCTCAGAGGTCATTCTTACAGGTTTTCCCAATCTACGTTGATAAAAGATGCAAACCAAAAAAATCTGCTCGTACTGCGATGACTGTTAAATACGGATCTCATGGGAAGGGGGGTGAAGGGAATGCACAATAGTTCTTAAATATTCTTCGCACTTTTATGTAACTTTCTCTATTGACGATGGATTCTGAAAAGCTTTCATCCGTGGACTATGCTTCTAAAGGGGTTTTTAAAATGGCTTAAATAACCCTCAGTGGACTTACGCTCAGATCGGTGCTCTCAGTAGCGTTAAATTCATGGCGCCAGAAGTTAAATTTGTTCCCCGTGTTCGTTCCATCCACATTAGGGTTGGTCAGCATGTGCATTGTTTTACCATTGTACGAGAACAACGCGGTACTTCTCGGCAATGTGTTTTGTGAATTTAATCCTGAACCTTCTTAAACGAATTCCCCCGTCTCGATAACCTCGGGGTGAGAAAAGTAAAGATCCACGACATCCCTCGTGGATCCCTGGCATCACTGTTTTATGACTCTCTTCTGTAAAAAGGTCGTCGGAACTGAAGACACTACAAAATATTCGGGAAGTCATCGAAATACTACTT